AAAATAATTGAACTTTAACAAAGGAAATTCTAGATATTCCAGTGAACCTTCAACAACAGATAATTAAAGATCTCTCTGTTAAATTATTAGCAAAATGTCTTTAACTTGCGAGAATCGTTACAAGCTTGTTGCATGCAAATTATAAAGCAAAGCTAATGACCAGATTTTCTACAAATAAACAAAACCGATTTTAAAGGCATGTTTATATTTATTCATGTTGCCATGGCAACGGCACATACGTCAACTTAACCATCAAAAAACCAAAGTTTGTGTTGTTAGCTTGCTTGCTGCCATTTTTGGCGACCTTAAAATATCAGGAGAAATACTATGCACTATGCAGCATGTAAACCCACTAAGCAATTATCACAAGAACATGCAAGATTAAGTGAAAGGGTTCGCTCCTTCTGTGCAAGCAGACTTTCAGAAATGTTCATGCCCCAAGGCGATCTTTCAGTAACCTTCAATCCTTGCGAACTAATGGTTTTAAGAGTAGTTAGAGGTGCTGGCTCCTTCATAACTTGCCACTTGGCAAATTCGCTTGCTAAACAAATGGAATGAAGTATTGACTTGATAGAGTTACTGCATGCACACGAGAACGAAAACAATACAAACTAACCTGTTATTGAGTTTACTCGTGTATTGGACTTTACTCAGCAACGAACAGGTTTGGGAGCAGCGTGGAAATTCTTTGGATGGTAGAGAAATTAATTTGCACCCAGCATTTTGTTTGCAAGCAAAATAAATAACAATTCCGGGTAAAATACGTATCTGGCGCAAATATTTGATTTTCTTCAAGATGACTGACAGGATAAGCCTTCTAAATCGATGAGCGTTACGTTACATTTCGGCGTTTCGGAACTCTCAAAGAAAAGGTTGATTGACAATGTTCACTTTCATTGATTAAATCGTGATGACGTGACCCTAACAGGGTTGATGAACGTACTACAAGTTTATTTTTTTTATAACTTACCACTGTGAATACATTTGTGTCTGTTCATTGACACTCCGGTGACATGATTTTAAGTTTGAGGACAGCAAAATTAATTGCGTCTGGCCATTATTTTACATGTTAAATTTCATGAGTTTCACTAATGATCAGTAATACAACGTACAAATCTTGTGAACAACTGTTTCTAATATAGTGAGTGAACTTATATCTCATGACATTTTAAGGGGCCATTAACCGATTCATGCGCGCGCTCGCGCGCGTTGCTAAGGAGGTGAAATTTCACTTCCGGTCACTTACGTCAGCCTGAGCACGGAAAATAAAAGCAACTCAAAAGCTTGCAAATTCGCATACATTTTAGATGTTTTTCTTTGTGTTTCACAAAATGCAAAGCAAAAAAAGTACAAGCAAAGACAAAATAAGAGAAAGACAGAAAAACAAGAGCAATAGAAAGAGAAAAACTAACTCCGTGTGGCTTTGTTTGATCTTACCGAAGTGCGCTGGTAGTGTAAATTGCGCACGCGCTGATAGGGTAACTTCCAATAGATATCGGGCGCACTTACGGTTTCTTTAAATGCTAAAGGAAACGCGGTTTTTCATTAAATCCAGCCTTTTTTGACGAATTTCGATTAAAGCCAACGTTGGCAACATAGCTATGCATTCCTTTTTCGAAATCATACTTTTTTCGGAAAATTACGAATTTTTCAATATTTTGAAACGCTCTCAAAATCTGACCTTTTAGAAATGAAACAAAATCGATGCATAGCGTAATGAAGATTTAAACTAAAATATTAAATCAATGAAAAAAATACCGAGAAAGCAATTTGCCTGGGAGCCTTTGCATTTTTTCTGTATTAGTCACATGACCATGGGCGTGGCCTGATGACGTCATCACTAGTGTTACTGGTCATGAAAAAGTTGAAACACATGAAATAACTCTGAACTAACTAAAAATGAGGAGGTCAGATGAGACTAAATTTTCCTTCGCAACGGCTCGAAAAGATCGGTTAATGGGCCCTTAAAGGTAAGCCTAAGGTATCATACCACCTTAATTAAGTCTAAGTTTCCTCACGGATGAAAACAAAAGCTTTCAAAATCTGAGGGACGTCTAAGACCTCTTGTACGGTCTTTTACTTTTCAGATTTCTTTTTCTCTTTTTCTGATACCAAGAGCATGATGTAAAAGCGTGTAAACTGCAGTTCTAGAGTCGCAAATAAACACTGTTACGCCTTGCTGGTTGTTTCTGCCGGAGTTAGAAAGGATTGAAATGGATCGGGTTTTTTGGAATGTCCACCCAGCTAGTCCTCAAAACCCTTTTCATCAGTGTCAGACCTTGTGTTGCTATGACATTTGTTTAACGTGTGGAGTTGCGATGGTGTAATGGTTGATGCGCCGGACTCCGTATCGAGTGGTCCGTTGCTTGAGCCCTGGCCTAAGTCATGATGTTGTACTCTTGTGCAAGACACTTTACCTCACTGTGCCTCTCTCGGCCCAGGTACATAAATGAGTACCAGCGAATTTATTGCTGAAGGGGGGGAGGAGGAGGGAAGGAGGAGGGGAGGAGGAAGGCGCGACGCAGACTTGACCCTTATTGACTGACAGCTTATATTAAAGTGCACCTAACCCCAAAAATTTTTTTTCGCTAGAACGAATCTACTTATTATTTGAAATAGTTNGGGAGCCTTTGCATTTTTTCTGTATTAGTCACATGACCATGGGCGTGGCCTGATGACGTCATCACTAGTGTTACTGGTCATGAAACACATGAAATAACTCTGAACTAACTAAAAATGAGGAGGTTAGATGAGACTGAATTTTCCTTAGCAACGGCTCGAAAAGATCGGTTAATGGGCCCTTAAGCCGTTTGTTGAAAATAAGTCAAATTTTTCCTTAATCATTACAAAACCTTCAAATATTTACATTCATAGACTAGTTCTTATTATTACCTAAAAGACAATGCGTCGCATCTATTTTAGGTAGTCTTTTGTCTTAACACTTCAATCAAGTTGACCGTCTGCAATTTTGTGCTTATGCATGGCTAGATGGCTACACCGCAAAATGCTAAGAAAAATTCATGCATGTGAGAGAGATAGTTGTTAGGTTCTGACCATTTCCCCGAGGAGCGACCGAGACTAGATTGTGATCATCATTCTCTTCAAGGAAATTATTTTCTTTTAGATGGTGAAATTTCGCCCGAAGACTTTTCATTGAAATAACTTGAGGTCATACCGCTTATAATATCACGAGACGAAACAGGAACGTGGAAGTTCCTAATTAACTGGTTCGGGTTTTAGAACCAAGGTCGAGGAGAAACAATCTGTGTGGGTTTAGCCTGCGAACAAGCTCCCGGCGAAGACGGAAAAGAATTTCGGCGAGCGCGAAACAGAAGAATTCGGAGAGCAAAGCAATCGGGGCTCACCGGGAGCCTGTTCGAAGGCTAAACAGCTTGTTAAGTTAATCTGTCAACAACTTTTGTCTGTGAAAGAAGAAACGTTTAGCATGTCTAAAAGATTTCGGGAATCGAACCCAAAAAGGGTTAGTTGATTGCCCATGACGACAATCCCAAGTTATAAAAGAAAAAACATCACACCCAATAGTCTTGTCTTACCAAATCAAAAAGGCGTTGTTTATAATACGTTACGTTACAGAAGAATGCATTATTGGGTGTAAAGAGCAGAACAAAGCTTGTTTTTTTTGTCACCACCTCCACCATAAACAACCAGGCGAAAAATAGCTATTTTCTAAAAGAGCGATTTAGTTGCCAGACTGCAAAGTAACAGACATTCAAACTCAATGGGCAAAAGATCTTCCTTCATCTTTAGACAATTTTTAAAATAAGAAGACTTATTTTAGGGCAGCACGCAGCAACAACTAATAATCTTGTATAACTGAGTTTATTAATCGACCGGTATCGTCTTCGTCAGGATTACACTACAAAATACAAAGATGGAACTTACTTTATACTAAACCTTTGCAGTACAGAGGACGCTCCTACTATAGGGTGTGAACAACAAAACATCCACAAGAAATACGTGCAGGATATGATTAAAATCCTGCGCTAGAAAATGTGCAATGTAAGCGGGGCTCACGGATTCAACGAAACCGGTCGATTAATAAGCTCAGTTGTACAAGATTATTAGTTGTTGCTGTGTGCTGCCCAAAAGTTTTCTCATGTCTGAATTCCGTGCAGTCTTCACTTGTTTAGAAAAGGCTGTCGAATCTAGCATTCCATGTGACCCCTCCTGCCTTTATAAACAGTTTAACCGCGATTTTTAATCCCACGCTACATCCAGAGAAAAAAAATCTAAAAAAAAAGTTTTAATGGCAGTCAATCATCTCCGCCTCTTCGCCCAAAGCACTGGAGTAGCTTGGGTGTCTACGCAAATATTTTCTTGAGACGGCGCATTTGTCCATAAAATGGTGCAACTCTTATCATGACTACATCCGCGACAACGACTAGACTTTCCGACTTCTGCTCTCATGGTCACGTGCAATGATGACCTCTGTTAAGGTCATTTCCACGACCAATAGAAACTTTCTCGGTTTTGTTTCGTATTCGGACATCAACAAATCTTCAATGTTATGACTTACTTTGTTAGTGCAGTTTATTCTCGCAACTTGGAACTCGTTTCTATCCAGCTTGTCTCTATCTCGAACTCAAACAATTTCTCATTGGATGTCGCTTGTTAGTCATTAATTATCTCGAACTCCTGTCATCTCGAGCTATTTTTACGTTTCTACTTTCAGCACCTGATAAAGGAATTTCCTTGAAGAGGGTGACGACTAATATGCCTCTCTTACTCGCATAAATGTTGCTTACTTCTTGTAATTCCTCATCTAAAGAGGTGGAAAATAAACCAATTTGTTTCCGAAAAGTTTACAAGAATCAGCAGATGTCGTCTCGTTCGAATAAAATAGCCGACGAGTGTAAAATTTCATCCTGCTCTGTCCAAATTATTTCCGCAAATGTTCTTACCTGTGAGAGGCTGATCAACGACTCAAGATACTTAACTACGTTATGAGAAATCTTGCGATACAAATTTCAAAATCTTACCATTTGAGCCTGTGTGACTGATGTACGAGAGCAAACGGCTAATGCTGCAAATGCTGGATAACGTTCTAATGTGTCTCTCGTTGATCTGTTATTTGAGTTTAATCTGCATTTACAAGCTTTATATTTTGTTGCGGGGGACTGGTAAGGAATATAGACTTGAGAACGAGGCTTGAGGAGTTGATTAGTTTGACAAGATTATAGTTGCATCGCTAAATGTAGAATATGTCGACCCACGTCAAATGAAGTTTTGAGCTGTTGTCTTTGGGGACGTCCTCAACATTAAAGATTAGATAGAACTTTGCTTTTAACTGCAAATGAAATGAGCATGTCTCGTCAAACAGGAACCATAATCGGGCACGGAGACCGTAAGTCTTGGGATCCGCGCGCACCTATGATATGGGACAACTTTGCTATTTTAAGAACAAATTACGTCACCATGACGACATATATCCGCACCGATCCACGCACATGTCGTGGGTTCTCGGGTGGATGTTGCCATGTTGCGTGATCAAATGGTGAGAGTTGCCAGGCAGGGAATAAGAACCAGGGCGCTTATGGCTCCTGATTCAAACTGATATTTGTACAAATGTAAAATTCACTACAACTGAATGCATGCATGCGTATGCCTCCTTTTATTCATTTGTTCTATCTTTTGTTCACTGATTGGTCAAAATTTTTTGGTTCGCCCCAGATGAAGTCCTTACATTGAAACATTTCTGGCCAATCTCAGAAATGTATGCAAAAGACTACACATGTCTACATTGACAACAGTGCAGGGCCGTATTGTAAGAGACAAACCGAGAACTTGCCTGAATCATTTTTTCGTTCGTCTTTGATGTTTAAAGTTATCATAAACACCCTTAACAGAAAAGAGAATTCAAAAATGGACAATGCTTCAGGTAACTGACAATTTTCCATTTCGTTCAACTGCAACCTCACATAAGCCATCCCTTGCTTCATCTTTAATTTTTCAATGCGCCAGTGACCAACAACGTAGGCAGTGGTGGACTTGGTAAGCAGAAGAGAATCTATGACAAAAGAATTTAAAGATAACGATTCAATGATTGTAATTATACGTTTCGATTGGAAATAAAAAAATATAGTTTTAGGAAAACAATTTGGTTAGCATAACACGCACCTTTGGAATTTGGGTATCCTTTCTGGCGGATGAAACCTGATAAGTATACTCCTCCAGCATCTGTTACCGCGCCAATTAACCTTCTCTGTGTAAATGGAGTCAAACAAGAGACAAATGTTGAAAGTCGTCATTAAACTAAAGTTTACGCTCTGTGCAAAGGAGACCACAGCTTTTGTTTCAGAAAGAGCAAACTGAAAGCTTCTTGATGAACGCCTCAAATTAGTCACGCAAGTAGTGTTCGCAGTTATATGTTGAGGTGGTAAGTTCAAGAAAAGTAATTTGAACAGCCAAGGGATATTTTCTGGAAACCTAACTTGGAAGTATTTAAGTATCTCACAGTCGACCTATTTCTTTTTAAAAATGGCACACTTCTTTATTAATTTCAGCTGTGCCGTCAGATATGCAAATTGCTCTCTCTGAAATGTTTCATGAATCTAAAAATATTCAAAACAGAGCTTTTGTTGCTTTTTTTAAATTGCAGCATAGACTAAGTTAACGCACTCAGAATACAAAGATACTTTCAGTCATTTGATCTGATTTTAATATCTAAAAGTGTCCTAATTTCTATTTTAAAATATAACACATTTAGCAAAGAAACAGAAAACAACCACCATCACCATTACAAGGCAAAGCGACATCTAGAAAAGTAGGGGAGAATCATTCTGGATGGAATGGACAACAGCAAAACCCATCTCCCATGAGAAAGAAGAATTTCAAAGGACACGCCATTGTATCTAGGCTGAATGCTGCAAGTTCCTCAGAAGTAAAATCTAGACCATATGTATCTCTTGTTCGCCCAAAATTAGAATATGCCTCTTCGACATGGGATCCCCATACAAAGAGAAATATTGACGAGATCGAGATGGTTCAGAGCCATGCTGCAACATTTGTATGGAATGATTACCTAAGGTATAGGGGTGTCAGCTCTATGATAAACAGCTTGGGGTGGCACCTTCATCAATTTCACATGTTCCATAAGTTCAAGTACGGTACAGTTGGTATAAAATTGTTACCTGAAGTTCAACCTTTGTCCCGACACACCAGGCTGCCAAATCCCCATCCTCATAGCCACCTACAGTGCACTGTTGACAGTTTAAAAGTTTCATTTCATCCAAGGGTTATTCCTGTCTGGAATAATCTTACCTTTTTGGCCGATCAGACAAATTTTAATTACGTAGCTGCGATAAACACTATAAAATTATTTTTTTAATATATATTTTCTCTTTTAAATTATTGCATAAATTTGTACGTATTTAATATTTAATTTTCTATATTTGTGATTCTCCTAATAGAGTTCTTTAACACTGTTAATAGGAGAAACTTGAGAAATCTTTGCATGCTTGGATTTATTTGAGTACCCACATGATCCCAATCTCACTGCCAATGCACTCATCTGCGTCCTTGATAAGTGGAATCGATTGCACGGTTTGGCACCTGTCTTGTACCTTCAGCTTGACAACTGTGCTTGGGACAACAAAACAATGTTAGATGAAGTGCACTTCAGACAGTTTAAAGTCAGGGAGATTTGGTATAAAGGCTTTCACCCTTGCAGAATCCACCAGTGGCTATGTGTTGCGAGTTAGTTCAAGGCAAGTGCTTTCGAAGAGACACAGGATTCATGCCAACCCTTGTTGCTATTCCTGACATAAGACTCAATCGTGATTTACCCTGTGAACAATGATACAAGATCAACTTGCAAGGTCCATATCCAGAAAGTGAAGACCATACACAGCTGTGCCATTTGTGGTGTTAGAATGTGCCCGGAACCTTGTTTGCAAAGGTACTACACAATGCAAGACTACTACTATGATGATGAAAGTTGAGAGGGTCCTCTTCGGCTAAAAGAAGCAAGAGGAAGGCCATATCAAAGAGGAAGAAGATCATTAAGAAATTAACTCTTGATTAATGTGAGAGCGGGCTGTCATCCCTTTCATCGGACAAAGCATCATTCAACCAAGCCGCCCCCCATATCAAAAAACACTCGACGAAAGCGGATACCACTACACTCTACGTTACGAACCAACCACGACTACTTAACGGAGAAACAGACAACGGAACAACATTCTCTGGTACAACCCTCCATTCAGCAAAAACGTCAACACTAATATCGGTCACAGATTCCTCACCCTAGTANGACATATTCAGTCGCTTTTTATGGCTAGTTCCTTTAGAAAGCAAGTCAAGCAGCCACGTTGTTCGAGTGTTACAACCAATTTATGACCAACATGGTCCACCAGATCGACTTCAGCGCGACCGCGGCACAGAATTTGAAGGCAAACGACGCTCCATGTGCAAAAACTATAAGATCAAAATGATAAAATCAAGACGTTATCACCCGCAATCACAAGGGAAGGTCGAGCGATCTCACCGAAGCCTAAGGAAAAAGATCATGTATGATTTTATTAACCTAGGAAAGATGGGCGTAAACTGGGCTTCTAACCTCGCTTCATACAACCGCATTCTTAACGAAGAAAGTAGAGAAGAATTGGGATGGAAAAGTCCATTCGAGGTTTATTTTGGTCGAAAATCAAATATCCTTGTCAAGGCATCGTTAGAAAACGTGGCTGACTTGAATGACTGCATTATCAGGGCTCCAAAAAGAAAGGACTATCGGCGCCATTTTAGGCTGGCAAAAGGCAAAGCTTTGGCAGCTTTCAGTGACTCCCACCATTGCTGGTAACGAAGAACTCGAAAACCTCATGCACAGCTTTCAACTATCACAAAAAGAAGCGAAGAAACCAAATGTTATACTCAAACACTTGCATGAACACTTCATGGCTAGCGAAGGAGATCTAATGGATAAATCAAAGTTCGTCCAAATGAAACAAGAAGACCAAGAATCTGGGCGGTTTCCATTCGACCAAAACTTCTGGTGTGAATTTCCAGAAATTTCCTGAGTCAAATGGAACAGAATTTTTTGGTTGACTGCACCAGAGTGGAAAATGATAAGCTGCACTTTAGTTCGCTTGGATATTGTCAGTGACTTCAAAGTTTGAATCGCAAATATAGAAGTAAACAGAACACTGATATGTCGACATGGTGACTTTTTGTACAACCCAACAGCAGGAAGCTTATACAAACCACAACGGCAGCAAAAATGTCGCAAAAACAAAGGGTTTAATGAGTGGTACAATGGCTTTGCACATGTTATAAATCTTTGTACATTTCTCGGCCAACCTATGCAAAACATTTGAATTAAATGCTTTCTTGTCGATTTTAACCGTACATGTAGTTAGTATTTACTGACGGCCAAGTGGCAAGATTCTGAAGTAAAGTATTAATCCATTTTTCGAGTACGTGTTGCTGTCATCTTTGCATGGGATATCCAACTCGCTGTGATCGCGGCCAAAAGAACTAGCGCTGAATGCAATATTGCAGATTTACATCATTTCCAAAAAAGAGGACAACCTCCCGAGGTATACCCAAAATTTCGAAAACTTTTTCCTGGAAATTTCCATTCCATTTGATTTTCATCCTTAATTTTCAGTTGAATGGTCCATTGAATGGTCGGTTGCTCTTGGCCCCACCTTCTAGGCACCATTCCCCAAGCTCATCTATTGATGATGAGTTAAATAACAAATTTATTTGTCAAATTTGTAAACGAATTCTACATATTGATTAATAGATTTATTTAAAGCTCTATGTAGTTTACATATGGGTGTCAGCTTTATATGAAGATTAAGTTTGTCAGTGTTGGCACCCTATTTGCATGTGCATATTTATATATTTTTGCAAATAAATAAATAAGTAAATAAATAAATAAATAAATAAATAAATAAATAAATAAATAAATATAGCAGTTATGCATTGCAGCCAGTGAATCATTAAAACTCAGTGTGTTAGAGTCAGTGTCTGAGGCCACCATTGGGTAGTCTACTCACATCACCTGGTTTCGAGAGGCAAAAGAACTGCCCCAAACGGTCCCACTGAGCAATGTGAACTAAAAACACAACGGTATGTATAAACTAGAAGCCAGGATGTTATTCACTGTCATAAATTTCTAGCAAGAAAAAGTCAAAATAAAAGGGAAAATGCAGCCCTAAACTGATAAATTTCTTGTGCACTTGAAACGTAACGATTTGAATTCTGATGCTGGAGGTAGTATTTTGTCATAATTGTCACGCATGGCCATACATGTAATTTACTACTGGGGAATTCTTAACGCTATTTTACACCCGCTTTCAGTGTTACTGTACGTACATAGGCGAAATCTTTGTCGACATGCCACGTAACCTGGCCTATGTCAAAAATGTAAGCACTTTTTAGTGATGGAAGATGGATTTATTTGACATTAAACTAATGCTAGGAGTATCAAGAAGCCATTCCGTGAGAGATAAATCGACTGTTTTGAAGGTTTTCACCTTGCAAATACTGAAAGAGGTAGCGGCCCGTTTCTACAGGAAGTCACTAACAGAGTCGATCGACTCTACCCTCAAATCGTTTGAATTATCCCGTAAATCGGGAAATACGCAAAGTCCACAGCCATTTGAGGTCAGCAGTTATAATTTATTTATCATTTCTTCAGCTAATAATCAGGAAAATTGCCAGTCCCATAGTTAAACGGTCTTTCAGCCGTTTACATAGCATGTCGAAAGATGGCATGTCGAAAGATTGTCGAAACATGTCGCCTATGCACGTAACACTGAAAGTAGGTGTAAGGAGAAAACGTTACCTATTTTTGTTTCGCATCCTTCCACTTTTTTTCTTCTTAAATGCAACATGGTATGTCGAGTTTACACGCCTACAGTTTGTACAGCTCTACCATCGACTCCATCTCGATCTCGTTGACGGCAGTCGTTGACGGCTATGTTCGTCCAAAGACTCCACCTTTGTGATCAGCGGATTTACCTGGGAGACGTCGAGGTCATGTATAACTGACTTCTAGTGTCCTCATGTGTTTCTGATGGACACTACAATATACCATATATTCAGTACCAAGCCACAGTTTGTTTTGGCGGCAAATAAAATAAAATGTTATACTTTTTGATTGTTCTACCGATTGCCGCATTCTAGATGTACCTTCTAGAATCGAGAGTGATTACAAAACAACCAAATTTACGAGCTACGTTTCAGTCTACAGGCTTTGTTTACCACAGTTCACTGTTCGTCGATCAGTATTTAGGTTTTTTAAGCTTGTAGGTCATGATGGTCGAGGCTGCTGTCAAGGACGAACTAGGACAGTTTTTAAGCAAGAACATATCTGCAGAATCCTTAAGGTATGATAATTGTAGCTGCAAGCTATTTGGTACAGTTTTATCTAAAATATTATTAAGGCCTCTGGTTCTGACTGTAATTTTCTTCCCTCTGTAGTTGTGTGGATGATATCGTTCTTGGTTATATTGCAAGTGTCCTTGAAGAACTTGGAGAGGATCAAGAATTTGATGTCGATGATTTTGCTGAAATAATGGCTGCCTACATCCCAGGGTTTGATACAGTCTCCAGGTACCTGCATTTAACTCACCTATGATCTTATGGTATTAATGATTAATAATAATGATAACAATAATTGGAAATATTTATACAGGGTAACAACTTTAGTTATAAATCTGTTATCAATGTGGGCCTTGTATTAAAATAAAACGAAAATGAAATGAATAAATTAAAGGAAATAAAAGTTTATATATTTGGTCTGCCCTTATTTCAGATTGTTATTATAATTAATATTAAGACAAAGGAACCATACAGATTACATTTGCAATGTAAGTGTCAATTTAAAACTACGGTGTGGTAAAAGATGGTATGTTTTGATTGTTGGTTTTGTTTGTGCAGGGAACATGTTTATAGTTGGATGCTTGACTTGGCACAGAAACTGGGAAAGGCCAGAACATCAAGTAATCTAACTGAAGGTAAATATGAATTCTTGTTATTATGTTTTCACGTTGCTGGATCTTCCTGTATAAAAGTTATTGTGAGAGGAAACTAGAAATACCATGTGAACATGAGCATTTCTGGGTGTTTCCACAGTTGATTAACCTTCTTCAGACTTTTATGTCAGGTGAGTGTTTCTATGACTCCATAGAGAACTGGACAAAGACTACATATCCAACTCACTCAGGGCCATGCTGGCTGGCATCAGGGGCATAGCCAGGGGGGGTCCTGGGGTGCCCGTGACCCCCCTTTTGTAAGCCTTTTTTTAAGCGAACAACCTACAACAGGTGACGAAAACAACATGACAATCTAGTGAGTACCCTCACTTTGACACAGTGTGACCCCCCTTTGAAAAATCCTGGCTACGCCTCTGGGCATAAAAATGGGAATGCCCTATGCTCCACTGAGGGGTCACAGGGATAAGACAATAACTCTACAGAGGATACATTGTGCTGTGAGAAAAAGCAGGGAAAATCACTGTTCTCTTTGCTCTTGGGATCATCTGGGGGCTTCATTAAATGTTTTCAGCCGGAGGGCAACTGGTTCTCACAAGTGGGCTAAACTTATAGAACTGAACTTCTTAATTAAAAGAAAAACATTCCCTAATGTCAAACCAGGTCGGCAAAATCATTGTCACATCCAGTCAATATTTTCCTGGCGCCCAGCCCTTAATGAAACTACAGGCTGGATTACTTTATTGACAGTTTTTGACAGCTCTGTGTTTCTTGGAGCAATAGTCACACTGCTTTTAGCCCTTTTGTACAGTAAATGTACTTACTGGATGTGCACAATGGTATGTTACTGTGAGTCATACATTGGGACTCACAAAATCTTTTTCTCTTCTCTCTTTAGAAGCTGTTTTAATGACAGAAGAAAATTGCCACCGTTCACCATCCAGTTTAGAGGGAGATGTTTTACTAGGCAATGATGCTGTCAAAGAGGATCAAACAGGGAATTCATTGGTTCTCTTAAGTTTGGAGAGACTTTGTATAAATAGCGATTTTGATGAAAGCGGTACGGTTACACTTTCATTGAGTTCCAGATACAACAACAAAGAAACTGGCGTTAATGAGCAGAATGTGGAGAGGGAAAGTACAGGAAATAATGGAAGGTAAGTGTTGCAATTGAATAAGAGAGATAAAATAAACTTATCAGCTCCCTTAGTGTTTGAAGTTTGATAAATACAGTAAAATGTAAAATTTAACACGGAAGTTAACAAGATTATACCACTTCATTGGTGAACTGAATCTGTGTCAAGAACCAGTTACAGGTAAATGTATATGTTATCATGTGAGATTGATAAGTTTTGAGGAGAATACAGTATTAGTCATGTACAAATTGGAAAGCAGGAGTGGTCCAGTGCTGTGCTCGCATCCCACCAATGTGTCCTGGTTTCTGAGATTTGGACCTGACATCAGATCTACATGTAGCTTGAATTTTTTTGTTGGTTCTTGTCTTTTGGTCTTCAGGAGTTTTCCTGCTTTTCTCAGCTTTCCTTCCTGCTCAAAAAAGCCAACACTGCAGATTACAATTTGATCTCAGTTGAGTCTTTTGACAACCCTGAAACAATCTTAAAACCAACAGTGCTTTGAAAGCATAAATAGACATTGCAATTGAATTAGCTAATTTATTTATTTAGATTTTTTTATTTATTAAATAATTACTTAATGATCTACATGTATTTTGTTTCAAAAGAGCATTCATCGCCAGTTTTGCAGGTTCACCATCCAGTTTAGAGGGAGATGTTTTACTAGGCAATGATGCTTTTACTAGGCAATGATGTATGTTATAAAATTAATGTTGTTTTAATTTTAGTTACAGTGAAGAGGTATTAGTGCTAGCAGAGATGTTTCCAGAAGCCAGTTCATTAGAAATAAGGAACTGTCTGATGGTTTCCAATGGTGACATTGAGTCTGCAGTGCAGCTGATGCTCTTAAAGAAAGAGAACATTGATGATGAAGGCAAGGAGAATTATCATCGAGTTCTAGATTTATCTCCAAAGGTACATGTAAGTTTGTACACATGTGTTCAGCATGTAGAGGAAGCCATTGTTTATCTTCATAAAATGCTCAGTTGCAGACTGTTGTAAACCGTGGAACTAAATGCTACATGTATGCGAGGGAATTCAGTAGCATTTTCAACAAGAGGGAAACTGGTTTTCACAGGTGGGCAAAACATTTTGAACTGTGCTGCTTTGTAAGAAAAACTTTCCTCTAGATAGTCAAACTAGGCAAGCAAAATCATCCTCACAGCCAGCCAATTTGCCCAGTATCCAGCCCTTCATGAAATCCCTGCTATGCAATTCAATATGTCAAAATTGGTAAAATACACAATATCTTGTAAACTGTGCAGTGTCAATTTGACTATGTAAAATACACAATATCACGCAAACTGCATGTTGCTGACTTGCTAAACAGAACCTTATACTGCACCTGCTTGCCAATCACGCCAGCCTCATGGTATAATTTTCAGGTTCACTGTCCAAGTTCAAAAAGACAGGAGCTGCAGGAAGCGGAACAGCAAAGTCTCAAAGAACAAATGATGGCAAGGTATGCCGTATTGTAAAGGTGTAACAATATTCATTTATCAGCAGTGTTGATGCCAGGGTGACTAAGCAATCTAGTTCTCATTATCCTTATTTACAGTAATTTTTAGATTAATCATGTCTGTGAGATTCTTATGTGCATGTAGTAACTCAGGGAGTTCATGTGATGATCACTCCACCAAACCAAGTTATAGGTAGGTTGTGAACTACTAACTGGCAAACTGCTGCTCTAGTGCCATGCAGCTGTAGTAAAATGCGTCAAGTAATTGATTGGTCTACAATGTTTGGAATTATTTGAAGGTGGGAAAAAGTTGTTTTGGGTGAGTGCATGCTGAGTACATTTGACATAACTATTTTTAGATGGCGCTGAGTTAGGTGAGAAAACGACCAAAGTTATTGACTTTACATGTACTAACGATTTTTTTATTTTCTACTACTTTGTTTTTATTAGATATGGGTATGTTGAAGTCAGCCAAGAAGAAAAAACGCATCAACCAACGCTTCGCGAACAGGTATTTACTGATACCCTTCATGAGTTTAGACACTGCGGATCGACTCTGAGTTTGCGAGTCACTGGGCGACAAGACTTTCCTCTCCTTTTTAACTCTTGTCCCTTGATTATTTTACAACTACCCTCTTTTTGGAAGCGGGAGGCGCGGTGGTCTCATGGTTAGTGCCCTCGACTCCGGATCGAGCCTGGCCGGCTGCTCTGTGTTGTGTGTTTGGGCAAGGCACTTTACACACGCAGTGCCCAGGTGTATAAATGGGTAGTAGTAGTGACGGTACCTGCGGATTCAAAGCTGAGAGTAACCCTGCGATGGACTGGCATCCCATCCAGGTTTTTGGGGGGGGGGAGTAGAAATATCCCTAGTCGCTTCATGAGACAGAAACTGGAGATAAACACCGGCCTGGTGGGCCACTCGGATCGTATGCAGAATTTGCCTCTCTTCAGAGAAACTCGTAAATCACCACACACATGCGCAGTCGCTAAATGATAATTAGTTAGTCTCATTGAGATACTGGGGTTTACTATATGACTGAGAAGATTATTTCATCTTGATTGGCTGAGAGCAAGCTAATTTATCGTTAATGCATTATTCGTCTGTTTTCAGGGAGAAAAGAAACTGGTTCGATATCGCAACAATCAAGTTGTAAGCACCAAAGGCGAGCGGTTTTCTCATGTGAAACAAGAGGAATCCGAAGAAATGAAGAAGACGTACGTGAACATAAAACCCGCGCGGAAATATCGCTTCCACTGAGTTTGGAACTCTGCTCGTGTGATCATGAAAGACGCGAAACAATAATCATTTCCGTATTCTGCGCGCTGAACGCGCGTGTGCTGGAAACACCTCCGCGAAGACGTTAAGGCGCACCCAAACTCGCCAAACATTTCGAATCAACGTATTGCAACATTGTTGTGGACAACATGTTGCATAAGTTTGTCTACCCTGTGACAACGTTATGCAAGATTTAGCATGGTGCTAGAAGGCGGCCAAACGTGTATTACATGTCTTCGGCAACACTGTTGCTATACAAAATGTATGTTGCATAGAAATGTTACAATGTACAAATGTACGTGTGTTTGGTCAAGCCTTTACAATACGTTGACACTCCACTTCAGTTGCAAAGCGTAATTTATATTATTCGACCATACTTGTGCAGAAACAATCGAAACAAGGAACGAAGTCAAGCCAAGGGGGGAGTGTCTATTGCGTGGCTGACATGTTACACGTTCCACGCGCTGCAAGGACGACGATAAAGGTGCTTTCGAAAAGCTTAGTGCCAATGAGACATACTTTATATCGAGTCGTGTCATTTTGAACAAGAGAAACCGTGTTAGACTATGTTTATCTCTTTATCACCAACTTTGAATAGTTTTACCTGTACGTAATTGCATTTTAATGCGTGGTAGTGGCCCGGGTAGCGGGTTTTTAGTTGGTTTATAACCACTTTATTTCATGTCATTTATCACTTTTTGTGGTTGTACGTTTTCAGGGACCTTATTAACAAGCGATAACGCAGAATTTACGACATCACTGAGTGATTTTTCACCGTGCGTGGCTCTTGAAGAAACCCACACGTTTGGTACTTTTAAGTGATTTCTATCTCTGACTTGCGTGGTCCTTGACAGCTTTTTCACAACTTGTCATATTTGCTTTTATGGTTAAATCCAATGTTGAAACAGCAGTTGCAAATACCTTTTTTGCATCTTAGCACTTGTCATTTACACGTCATACTACGAGTTTGAATCCTTGCTTTGTCCAAGGGAAAGTTGTGCGTGAGCAAAACCTATATCATAACTCAATCACGATGTAGTATACAAGTCACATAGCATATTCTCAATGCTTCAATTAATTATTTTATGACAGGTAATCGTTTTGCCCTATTCAGCGAACGAGCGCTGTGGATGTATACAGCTGTACGTGGATTTCCTTAAGTGTGCATTTATATTCTTCGCTGACGATAGTTTTAATGATAAAGCACCCACCACATTTTAAAACCTCAATTTAAAAGCCGATAAAAGCATTTCAACATATCGGTAATAACTTAATGCCGTCGAATGGGCACCTTTGCCTTTATTTTGAAGAAAAACGTTTGGTAAATTGATTTAAATAAAGTGCCAGTATAGATCTGCTGTGATATTCCCTGTAAAAACAACCGACGTAGCGCAAACGAAAAAGTAATGGTGGCGCTCTGAAAACTGGCCTTGAACTGATTCAAATCATTGGCCGTTGCGCCAGCTGTTTTCTTTCTTTAGATTCGTAAATAGACTTGTAATCCATTTATATTCCTTTACATAATTTTATTAACCTTTTTTTTTTTTTTCTTGCATTAGGCAAAGAGTTGTTAAATATTTAGTTGTTCCAGAGACTGAGAGTGTACTATAGAAGGAACTGTTATTCGGCTTATACCAAGAAATTCATCTTTGTTCTGGGAACAAATCTCATCTTTAAATGAAAACTGAGGTAATGCATTCGAATAAAGGAGCTTTCTACCTACGGTTCTGAAATCCGGCTTCATAAATGAGTAAATGACGGGATTTATGATTGAACCGAAAGCTAGGGTAAATGGAGAAAGAACAGTTATGGCCTCGGGCAGTAGATGTGGCTTGCCAACAGCGTAAACCAAAGTGGTCCAGATGATTGGTAACCAGCTTAAAACAAACATCACGGCAATCACTCCGAACACTTTAGCGACTTTCGCTTCCGAGGATACCCTATTAGCTGTTGATTCGTTGAGAGATCTCCCGTGTACAGAGTTGGTGATTTCTTTCTCTCTTTTGACGATTTTTCGAACTTGACGGAAAATTCGCAAGTAGCAAAGGAAGATCCAAATATAAGGTGCCGCGATGCCCAGTATCAGGATACAAAATTGGTATATCTTTAAAGCTAAAGCTGCCACATCGCTGTCAAGCCAGCAGACTGGAAGAACAGCCGAGGTCACAGCTGTAAGCCAACAGAGAGTCACGATTGTCCCAAAGTACTTCGCAATAATCTCTGCATAGTTAAATGGCTTCATGCAAGCCAAGTGTCTGTCAAATGTTACAGCGCTTAAATTGGCCACGCTTCCTACCAAGGCGGTGGTGTATAAGATATTGAGCGCTACAGGCGACACCACTGATAAGGCGTACTGAAGGAACAGAGTCACTCCTACTAAAATGTCCGACACCGCCAATGAAACGATGAATCCATTTGTGTAAGTTCTTAGATTCCTGTTGATACACACGAGAAGGCAGACTGCGCCATTAGCGATTATAACAAGAACTGCCAAGACGCTGATAGGTATCACAATTTTCGCAGTCGTCATTTCGACTGTAGTTGTCCTCTAATGCTAGTAGTGATTGCTTCTCGCACTGTAATTCAAATAGATGCGAATCTTTATTGTCTGAAACGAGGATAAAAACAGCCAAGAATTGCAGCGACGCGTTATCAGATACGAGTACTACGATTTCACCGCAGATTATATAACTGCGACCGACTTACCACGGCTTAGTTCGCTTCTCAGTTTCCTCGCGGCAACTTAGTTTTGTTCGTTTTAAACGATTCCAAGTTGGATTGGTAATCAACCTGTGACGCTGGAGAAGTCCTTGTACGCTCACGCAAGCCATAAACGCGGTAGCCAATAAAAAGCTATCGTGGCGGTTTGTTTAACGTAAGCAGCTTACTTTCAGAAAGCACTATATGGTGGATTAGTCTCATGTCCGTCAGTTAATGCCGTGTTTCGGAAACAAACAACTGAGGATATTGGCCCTTTAATTATCGAGGTGTACTCAAAAATGTAAATTGTGGAAAAATTTGTCATTGCGAAAAGATTCTAGTTTTTGCAATTTTTTAGAGCCTCTGTTTACGAATCTATACAATCGGATTCAGATGAATCACGGCAGTTCAAAAATCACGACGTGCAACTGGTTCCTCGCTAATAAATCTACAATTATGGGACATATGTCTTAAAGTGTTTTCAAAAAGCCAACATGTGTAGCTCACCCTCATTTAATTAAAGCGATCAATTTGTTCTTTTTTTTTTACCTCCCCTAATATCACATTGTTTTATACAATCGAGTGGAGAAGAAAACGTCTCACTGACGACCACTCTTTCCTTGTGAAATCTCATTTTAACCTGCGATGGTGATAAAAGAAAGTGAGCCCTAATTTAAAGAAAAAAATTAGATAAAAGGTAAACGATTGGTTGTCAGAGTGATTTGTTTTTGCTAAGAAATCATGCGAAGCTAAATGTATGTAAAGTAGAACATCGCTCGTCTTGATTGTTTTATTAATATTGCTTGATTGTATAACATGAATTTATGGAGTATCACGAACCATTATTTCGGCTTCCATTGTGGCTTTTCTAGTTAACGTAAGCCGAGGAGAGCTACGTATAAATGGAAAGTTTTATTTCATCTGACGTGCGAGGCATTTATCAGGAAATGACGACTGATCCAGTATTTTTCTTCTCTAATGTTTAGTTTTTCTTTCCGTCGCTTTTTGATAAACCGCAATTTCACTTATTATCTTAATGGTTTTACTTTTATTTACGGGAAACAAACGCCAGCTGGCTGAAAATGTTCAAAATTACTAATTTCAGTGATTCAGATATTAATATTAATAATTGTTTTATGAGAATCTGTTTGCCTTTAGTGAGTTAACTCGAGGTCAACACAACTAGACCAAAATCAACACTGATATATATAAAAAGGAATAATGCAAAACAACGTTTGCCCTTGACGCGTACTAATATATACTTTGAAGTTAACATCAGCTGAAAGATGCCGCTTACCGAATTAATCCGTCATATTGATGGCTCCGTTTGTTAACAGTGGTTTCCAGAAACACATTCACTGATAATGGTGCCGCTGGTAATTGCACGCAACGAATAAAATCGTATCTGACTGCTTGCTTCACAAACGTCGTCATAGTTCAGTAACACTGGCACCTCATATCAGGATTTTATGATCAGGATGAATAAAGATTGGACATTTGCAGGTACCTATTCGAAAATATAAAATCATATCAGAGAATTCACATTTGCTCCGGTTTCTAGGACAATCGCCTTCGACGGAGGTTTGTTGTGTTCAAAATGTTTGATTCTTCATAGTGTTATCTCTCCGAAAAATGTGATAATGTTATTGCATTTGTTTAATTCAGAAGCTCTCTTAAAAAATTCATCTGACTCATAACCAGAATCCTCTAAACACTCTTTCCTGCACGTAATTGATGCAATGACACCTCTTATTTTCTTTCGACCCCAGCCGTCCTCTCTGATCGTTTGGGTTGCCCCTTCATCGGTGCACTGTTTTGCTTACTTTGCATTACTCTAAACGTCACTCGATAAATTCATCAACAGCTGAGAAATGAGAACTTTTCCTAACAGCAGTGCACTGCATTGTTCACGTGCAAATTGGAACGCGCCCATTAACGTTTTCTGTCTTTCGTTTGTATAAGGACACTTAAGTCTACTTTGGAGTAAACAGTGTTGTCTAAAACACAGTGACCCTTGAAACTTCAAATCAGTTTAGACGACAGTGTTTTTTTGACTGAATCGAACGTAATCACTGTTTCGGGGTTTGCTTAGTTCTGTAAACTCAAGTAAGCAAGTCCAACCAAAAACTATTGACAGTGGCGGATCCAGACCTTGAGCTAAGGGGTGGAGGGNGGGGTTACTTGGCCTGCCGGCTTTTCTTCCCTCGGCGATTTTTTTTCTCTTTTACCAAAATTAGGGGCGAGGGGGGTACCTGGGCCCCTCCCCTAGATCCGCCACTGAGTAATACCAAGAGAGAAAGGGGGTGAGATAATTAAATAATCCCCTATATAAGCCTTGGTCCTAAGCTAATGCATCTCAAGTTATCTTTACATCACATCTGGCCTCAGAAATCCCAGATAGCAGATCCTGTCACGCGAATTTTACTTACTGGCACGTGGGCAGCTCAGTGGCTACAGCTCCGCGAGAACATCGACGCAAAGCGCATGGTAGCGTTATCTGCGGGAGAACTGGTGATTAACATATCTAAAAATTTCTTGACAGGTGTTACCTTGGGAATAAGCCCTATATTGGCCTATAGGGGATTATCTCTATTATTCTCTCTTGGTAACACGCTCAAACAAATACGTTTCCGCGGGAGGTCAGGTGTAGACAAAAAATAGAGCTCTTCCCTGGTCTAAACATCACAGCAACAGAACATGTGGAACACGAGAGACATTTAGCCACCTCCAGTGCAGTAACTGACTAAACGATATTTAGTTCAATATGCCCATAGAACTCATTCATGTTGCCGACTGTACTATTCCATGACAGTCTTCTGTGTTCTTTTTTCACTTTTGTAAAATCATGGATGCAATTGACGAGACGATCTCCCGGCACCACAGATAGAGTCGAGTTTTCCTTCACTACGTCCAGAATGAGGATTCAGGATAATCAAAGCTTTTCGCAAATTAAGGTGGCTTACTACGGCTTTGAGGGAGTGAAAGAGCCTAACTTTATACTAAGATATTTCAACACGTTTTTTCCTTTCTCTAATTACTGCTTGCTTAACCCTCTAACCATCATCTGCGACACTTGAACAATACAAAAGGTATGTCATATTTATTAATAATTATTTATTAATAGCCAAAAAATAGTTCTAGTGACGTTTTTCTCAAACTAAACCCTTCCGACCTTACCTCAAAATTTTAGGAATTAGAAAAACTAAAATACAAATCTGGAGGACAACCTTTTAGCTATTTTTGTAAAAGGCAAAATTTTCACATTTTTTTTTAAGTCCGCGCCCCATCCCCCTTATTAATTAAAATGAAACTCAAATAACTCTCCCTCTTAAATTATGAGGCTATATATATATTTTTCTTTTTTAAGGCTTTATTGGGTTTCAATTATCTTACACATAATTACATAAAACATAATTATGGAAAAAAAAGAACACTATCCTAAGGAAAAAAAGAATAACAAACGAAAGAAAAGGTATAATACCCAAAGGGGCAAGCACGAACGAGACCGAAGGACCCATGCAAGGTGCCGCCCAAGTGGAAAATTTTGTTCAAAAAGCTAAAAATTGCACAGTTGTGTCAGCACATATGAATATCAAAAGGAAAAATTTAGTGTGCGCTATTAACGATGGCAGGCGCGCGATCTTACAAGTGACCAAGTGCATGAGCGTTCCACGTCAAATGTTGTTCGCAAAAGGCTTGTCGGAGTTTGTTTCAAGTTTTATTACCGTTCTGAGTTTCATTTTCGACAAGAAACTTTTGCTATAAATAGAGAAATCCCTCTTCTACATTTGCTAGCGTTTTTGAGTCGATTGAGCTAAGCATTAGCCTACTTATCAAAGTAACGGAGCCGTTATTTTTGTGGCTTGAGCGGATAAGACTTGATCAAATCATTTGGTTTTAACAGTAAAAAAATTCCTACGCCCACAACAACGTTTCAGAGTTTGTTTTAAAAAGTTTTTAAAAACATCGATACTGGAAAGGATACTTTTAGGGTTTCCGGGATACGGGATTTTAACGGGATGCGGGAAATTTGAAGGAAAAATTAATGGGATATGGGATATTTAGTTCGGATGAAACGGGATATCGAGTGGGAAAATCGTTAATTTTTGCAATTGGATTTAACGGAGTAAAGGATATCTAGGCCAAATAGTAACGGTATGTGGGATTCTCGGACCCCCAAATGGAGCCTCCATAGGCCAGGTTCGATAGTTATATCAATATTCTAACATGGCTCCGAGGCTTTCGAGTCAAAATTGCAAATTTTTTAATTTTCTTTTGTCTCACAATTCCCAAACGAGACTGTGATACATAGGTTAGAATATTGATACAACGAACGTGGCCTATTGTTGAACGTCAACCTCAGGACACCGTAAGACGTTTCAGTATTCAAATTCACACATTAATTGCCTGAAAGTGGTCAGTAATTGGACATACGTAAAGATGGTTACTTTAGTACTCTGTGGTCTACCGGCAAGAATTAAATGAAATACAAAAGATTCTGATTTTCTTTCAAATACAGTGAATTGTGGCTAATTGCCTCAGGAAATTTAAATAAAATTAGGTCTGTTCTAGCTTTAAAACTATGTTTCTGTTCGCCCTTTTTTGCCTTTACCTTGTACAAAACACAATACTTTTCGCCTGTTACAAATTATTCTCTCTTGGTTTTGGCCTGTCGTGTCAATTTATGTGACATTAGCTTAACCATTTACCTTTTCCAGGACTTTGAAGCAAAACAAAAATAACTTAAACAGCATCCGAAAACGTATAATAGACTTTTCCCCATTTTTCTCTGATATAATTTCCTGCAAATGGGAAACATAAAACAGTGCTCGGCTTTTCACCTGCCACTTGAGTATCATCAATGCTTAGTCACCGTACATTGAGTCTCCCATCACACTGAAAACAACCGATTTCTATGATATTTAATTAAACTATCTATTATAAACCTAAATATCCCTTTTATTGTACTTTGATATTGTATTAAGCGAAAGAAAGATATTGTGGTTGCTGTTGTTAAAATCACGAAGTTGTTACTTTGAACTTGAACGTAAGTGTACTGCACCAACAATAGTGTTAAAAACGTTGTGTATTTACTTTTCCAGCGTTAAAAATGTTTTTCATTGACCCTTAGGCTCTCGACTTCTATTTTAGAGTCATAAATTTGCCGAGAGGTCATCGAAGTTTCTTAAGCAAGCCAAGTCAGTCTTGATTCTACAGATGATGAAGCGGCTTCCTTCTCTCTTGCTTTGCCAAGCCATTTTCCAGCTTGCAATAGCAGCGAGTCTTCACGATCTGGTAAGTATACAGCATATGATCGTTGTACAATTCGTTGTACATTGTTATTATTACTCAAGTTATTTATCCAGTAAAAGGTGGTGGAATGCTATAGTGTAGTCCACTGCCAAGCCTTGAGACCGCGACTCCACTTCTGACCTCATATCTACGGTGATTTCTCTTTTTTGATTACCAACAGAGGCAAAAATGGATCCAAGCATCCCAAGGTACCAATGCTACTGCATTCCTGTCTCTCGATGACTCGTTGCTGCTTCCGTTAAAGCATGAAAAATATGCCAAAATGCGCCTCCATGACATTCAAGCTGTAACATCCAAAGGCATAATCTGATTTTTGACGATGATCATGAGGACCCATGAGCCGTGATTTGTTAGAGCGATCTCTGACACCGTATTCTTGAGACTGTCGAGTAACCAGTTGACTATCTGAAGAAAAATTATCTTTAGAATTGAGCAAAAACCAGTTTCGAATTATTTATTTGAACAGCGAGGCTAGATTTGTTGTAGTGGGGACGGAAAAATCGTTTGCTGTCTTACCATATAATGATCGATTCGTGTGCCTTAATGACTTTTTGTCTTGTGAAATTTATTGAATTTAAATTAATTTTTTGCAGAAACCAGAGATACAAACACAACAATTTCGGGAAGAGGTATTGTGGACTTTGATGTTATGATCTTGTGTGGAACTGGAGAAAGTGCGATTCATTACAATGGCTACGGCTGTTACTGCGGTTTGGGTGATCAAGGAACCCCTGTGGATGACACAGATAGGTAAACAACAACAACAAAAAAAACCGACATGAACATAACACTGACGAGGGAAGAACTTGCACGAATGGGGTAACAGAAGCAAACTCAGACAGTTTAATATGCAACGTATCTATGATATGTTCTCAAAGCAAATGAATTATCAGGAGCTTATAAAATCGAGATGAGAGGCGCGGTGTCCTCATGGTTAGTACGCTCGGGGACATTGAGCTGTTTTCCTGGGCAAAGCACTTTACTCTTACAGTGCCTCTCTCCACCCAAGTATATGAATGGGTGCAAACAAATCTAATGATGGGGTTAACCCTGCGATGGACCAGCATTCTATCCAGTGGGGAGTAGAAATACTCCATGTCACTTCCTGCTACAGAAAACGGGATAATTAATCTTCGGCCTGATGGGCCATTTGGCTCGTATGCAGACTTTTTTATATACATAAAATCGAAATGGCGAGACCTTTTCAATTTTCGCATACTTTTAGATTTCTTATATGTTTTGCTTCCTAACAGAAGTTCTAACAATTTTGATATTCAGGTGCCGCAAAATACACGACAGATGCTATGACGGGATAAAGAAGTCAGGCACTTGTTTCTCTCCGAAACGGACATTGTCGACATGCCTTGTGTGTGTGCGACTCAGCCGCTGTGCAGTGTTTTATAAAGAGCAAGAACACTTTCAATAATTCTTACAAGAGCTATGACAAAAAGAACGAATGTCAGCTGTAATTTGCCTTCAGTACTGAAGCATTAAACACGTTAACAGTCGAAAATGTCTGTGTCTTATACTTTGTTACCGATAATAAACAATTTTGTTGAATTCTTGCTAAGGGCCTGCTTACATGGTGAATTTCAGCCCGGGCTGAAATTTTAGCTCGGCTAAGGGGGCTGAAATTTTGTTGCGATTACATGAAATATTTTCCTCGGCGCCAAATATGAAATTGCGCGCGAAGAGTCTCAGGAGAATCAAAATGGCGCCGAGAACAGGTATCGTGAAAATAGGCGCATTGCTTCTCTCGCAGTTTGGCCTTTTGTTAGCGTTCAATTTTCAACTTTTTGGGATGGTAACAGCCAACAAGATGATGGAACTGAAACGAAACCTGTCTTTGGCTACATATCTTTCAGCCAGAAAGACGTACTTGCATAGAAAGAGAAGATATAAATGCGAGCCATGGCTTCCCTGACAGCCTCGTAATGTTTAACCTTGTCTGCATTGAAGTCGATGTTCTTATATTCCATCTGAGCTTTGAAATTAGCGAGACAACGAATAAGATTCTCTATTGTATCTCCTTTATTCCACTAAAATAGCTTCTCCTTCGTAGCGGCAGCCATCTTGTTTACTAGAAAACAAAATCACTGGGCATGTCCAACCTCGCTGAAATTACGTTCCGATTTTTCAGCCAAAAAAAAAAAAAAAAAAAAAGACCATCTGCGTCCGATCTCAGTTTCCAATGTTTCTGTAGTTTTTACACATCAAACTACCAGTATGATACAAGTATTCAACAGCCACAGTTACACACCTCAAGATTCGCTAGTCTGTATTTTCTTTCTACATCCCAAGGTGGAGATTCTTCCTCAAACATGGCATACAGGTGATCAGAGAGTCTATCAAAGATAGTAGGAACATATATTACTTTGATCCTAGCAAGTGGCTTGCTCAAAGGACTACGTACATGTACATTGGCTATATGTTCTAGACTGTGAATACTGCATGTAAGAAAATTCTAATAATCAAACAGACCAATGATGGCTAATACACCTGTAACTACTATGGGTCATCAGGGCTGCACTTAGCTCCATTTTCTGTAGTATAAAGGACTCCTCGGTTCCTCCACACTCATACCCAGTACAATTGACCTGAGTGGGGCCGACTCATCACCCAGTCAACCAATCTTACTGGAAGTCAGGTCGCGATATTAAAAAGAGAAGTGAATTTGAGTTAACAGAAGCCAGCTTGTCACAAGTCGTGACGATCCAAGTTGGATCAAATCAATCACCCTCTTTACAGTCTCTCACGGAATGACTTCCACTGCGTCGGGCTGTTCACCACCTTAGTCGATCTGACACAGTTCAGGTGTATCCCTGGGCAGAGGGAGTTACTGTGAGAGTAATGACCCCAGCCAAGATTTGAACTCCGACCGTTTGATCCAGAGTCCAGTGTGCTTTCACCAAGCCACTGCACCTCCAACTTTTACTTAGAAAACAAAAGTATGGAAAACTAAGTGCAAAGTTGTTTCAACTCAAGTATTCTACATGTATAAACACCTGTTATTCTCATTAAATGAAGATATCAAGTCTGTCTCTTCAAACTCTGGGTAAACAAACACAACTGGCCAGTAGATAACACCAGTGCTGTCCATAGAAACCTTGATATCCAGACCACCATCAGTTATGGGTCTCACAAGGTCGTCCTCATGTTCTAATTTGACACCACATGCCTAAAAGAATAAGATGAACATACAGAATTTAATATGCAGTTCTACAAAAATTACAATGACTCTGATCTGGTGATTACAAAGCTACTTAATTCAACCAAGGCTCTAGATGGCAAAATCTGGACCACTGGAGCACACACGATTAGCCAATCAGATTCAAAGATATAGGATTCCCAACTGCTGAGAAGCTTGAGCAAAAATACAAATTATATTTTTGAGAGGTAAAGCCAACATTTTATGAACAAGGGCAGTGAGACAGTGAGTGAGTAAAATAATGTTTCTAACATGAGAGAATATAATATTCCTATCTTCAAACCACCATGTAATTTTCTTTCTATTATATAGACAAACTGACTGCTTGCAGAAACAACCTTGAAAAAGCATTCGAATCCGGGATGTAGTTTTGTATGAATTTTACAAGTGGTGTATACGTATTTTCCAGTAAGGCAATGGTGTCTATAATTTTTAATAAAGCATAGCATGTAAGCCAATCAGAACATGCTCAGACTCTAAACTTGTGTTAAATGAATAATAATTGTATGCTTAGGTCTCTTTTATATTAATGTACCACATACCTTCACAGCTGTTAACAATGCTTCTGTTTCAGATTTCTCTTTCTTTTCCTTCAACATGGCTTTTCTTTGATCTCTCAGCACCTTTTTCTGTTCAGCAAGAGACTTGTTTCGAATCTCCAACAGCCTCTTATTTTGTGCTTCAATCTTTTTACAGTTAAGAATTGAAACTATCAACACTGTAGACATACATGAAGGCTTTCAGGTTGGTATACCTGTCAAGTGTTTGCATGCATTGCGGGCCTAGGGTACTACATGCATTGATCGTCATAATCATTATCTCTTTTCAGGGGTACTACATGCTACATGCAGACAGTACTATTTAATGTAATTTAATTTATTGTAATTATCATAATTTATTATTATATAATTGAGAAATACAAGACATATACAGTACCAAGTTTCTATCAAGTTTTAGAATAAATCTACTAGCGTTCTATCATGAATGCCGTTCTCTCATTGGCTACCCTACTCATTTTCTATTCTGTGATAGATAATGAGTAGCATAGCAACGTGCCCTTGCTAACAAAATGACGGCCCCTTCTTGGCATTTTCGAAGTGTCTGTAAAGAGGATTTAGATAAAGTTTTGAACGACTAGTAGATTTATACTAATTAAAAACAGTTAGATTATTTGCTCTCGATTTCTATGCATGATAGAAATCTCCAGCTCATAATCTAACTGTTCAATGAAACATGAGTGGAAGTTTGAGAGGACAGGAAGATGATTCATTCCTCCTATCTCACTCCTATTCATGCCTTTTAACAGTCCAAACTCTCAAATATTCTCCTGACTGTTTTCAGACATACATGTATAAACATGTCTGGGCAAGAACCAGAACTGTCAAATTTTAATTATGATATACTGATACGAAATAGCTTTAGTGGGTAAAAGAAGCTATTCATGTAAGTCAAAATTTTTTTTTTACTGTGGACATCACAAGACCTCCTGACCGGTACCAATACTTTACACAACAAAGATACCACTAAACCATCATCGCACCATTGTACAGCGTCGTCATATTTTCGAAGTTCCACACAAGCGCTTGCACCTATGCAGGAAAAACGCAGCCATAAATCTCCTCCCATTTTCCCATTCCAATCTTAAAAATTACTAACATTGCTTCAAATAGCATAGACTAATGCTTTTAATTTCAATATTTTGAATCATGTTACTTTTCAAACCTACACATAAACTTGTTTGACACTGGTACCACACAGACTTAGCTCTGTGTTGGTACAAGATTACCACAAACCTAACTGTAGTTACCTAATGCCAAAAGAGTCGCACATACTGCATAGATCTACAAAGTACGCACCTCTTAAAATAGCCTTCATGTAAGTTGGTTGCAATGTCCTTGCAGCTGTTGCATCATTCAGTGCACTGCGATTATTTCCTGTCAAAAAGACAACAAAAATATTATGCATTGTAATTCACCACTAAAAACATTTTAAAAGAAAAATATTAAATGTTACAGTTAGTACTCAAAGTTTTGGTGTTGTCTTGTCACCACTATCAAATGGAACTTTCTACAAAAAACGTAACACATATAGTTGGAATACATATTACACCCTGTAGTATAGGAACAAAAGAGTCAAGAAAAATATCAGCTTATTAAAATGAAATTCATGATCTAGTGTATACATTTCTTTTAAAATATTTAGATTTTGTCTCATTTTTTGTGTGGCAAAATAAAATCATAAAATCGAGGGCATAGCCAGGGGGTTCCTGGCGTGCCCATGACCCCCCTTTTGTAAGCCTTTTTTAAGCAAACAACCTACATCAGGTGGCGAAAACACTATGGCAATCTGGTGAGTACCCTCACTTTGACACAGTGTGACCCCNCCCCCCCACCCTCCTTTGAAAAATCCTGGCTATGCCCCTGAAAATAAGTATTTGGTTTATTTGACTAATACCTAGACAGAATTGGGCTGTGGCTCTGTTAGTGTACAGAATAGCATTGAGCCCAGCATCATCGCACTTGATTTTGATTCCCTCTGTGTAGGCTGCAATGGCTTCCTTGAAGTTTTTTCTTTTGTATTCATAATTTCCATCTTCCTTGTATGCTTCAGCTCTTGCTGACGAAAAAACAAAGAAAAGAAAAATGTCCTTCACCACAGCAGTTTGATCTAAGCAATAGTGATTCCAAGCACTGTAGGCTTCAGAAGAAATCTTTGTAATGTTGATCATAACTAACAGATCTTTGTGGCATCAATCACAACTATAATAGTTGGGAATTAAGGTTGAAGAGTGGTCATAAAAGGCCTGGGGTTTTTCAGGCCATAATATATAATGTTCCACATATAATGCAGATACATGTCAATGGAATCATGTAATTTGATTGGTTGCTTACAAGAGCTATGTCATAGTTTGTGCATCTTGAAAAAAATTAGCCCCTAAAGCCTTCAAGTTCATCGTATGTAATCCATGTTAATCTCCTCTATCCTAATAACCATCCTTGTTCCTCTATGGTTCATTATTATCTCTTTGGCGTTTTTGTATCTTAGCAAACTGCTATTTTCAGGCTTCCTTTAATTTAACAGTAATTCTGTACTCAGCCAAAATAACTTAAAATATCATGATTGAGCTCCTTTAAGCAGCCCAGTTTTCTTTGTTTCAGTTGAATTGCTTGCATCAGTTAACGTTTTCAAGTGGGATTTTCCAGAAAAATGATAAAATTTTATTGGCCAGTTCTAAAGATATGGTCTTGATATCGTTTTCTTTGTTCATACATGGACCTTGCTTAATATTTTTTAATTGTCTTTCACACTTGGTCAACATTTTTATTTCTGAACCTCACACTCTCACTGACCAGGTGTAGGTTATTCAGAGGAGTACTAAAACATTATCAATACTGCATAATTCATTCTAATTCATTCAGGTTGTGCAAACTACATAACAACCTATCTTTGGTTGCACGTATAATTTTAGTAAACATTAATTACATTTACAGATAAAGCTTAAAAACAGGAGTTTCCATGACAAAAGAAGGTTCTTCAAAGATTTAACCTTTTTTATCTCTTACCTACAGGGTCTTCATCTTCATATTTAATAGCTTGAAGAGCTGCTAAGGCAGGGTTATTATCTATTTCTTCTTGTGTTGGGGCTGTTGTCATAAAAGCAGGGACTTTCTCAAATTCCTAAATAAACCAAAAAAACAGAAACCATGAAGGCTGCTTTTATAATACCTGTTGTCAACTTAACAGAGGTTCAATGTTTCCATGCATCTGTTCAGTAATTGACAACAGATGACATCAAGGTGATAGCTGAGTGTGTGACTCATGTTCTTATAAAATTTTAACATCTTCTGTGATCAGTAACAGATACTAGGATGGGTCTTGGGGGATTGGGTCGAACCCCCTAAATGAAAAAGGTTGACACATTACAACATGCTGACTTGGCTTCAGAAAGCCAGAAATCCAATTTCTGAGGACCACAGTTTTAAAAATTTCTCGGGTGAGGATAGCCCTGGACCTCCCAAAAGGAGACCACCTTCAGTGGTTTGTATATCTCAAACCCCCTTTTATAAAAATCCTAGCTGTATTTGCCTCAGAGATTCACAGCAACATGACATGGAATCCATTTACTTTATATAGCAAAGGAACAAAAAACAAACAAACAAACAAACAAACGTTAATGACTTCATTTATATGGAGTTCCATCCCCGCCAAAAATCAAAGTTGATCACAACATTCAACTTGACAGTCTAACAATTAACTTGGCAAACATCAACATCATTTTTCACTCTTCAACTTTGTACTTTGTATCACAATCATTGAAACTTTAAACATCAACTTTCAAAGTGACAG